CGCTCCTGTTGCGGCCAATCTGGCTCTCCTCGTCCTCGACGATGCCTCCATATGCGGCGCCGCGACGGCCGCGCGAGCCGAGGGAGACGGGCTGGCTGGCGCGCGATTCCATGTCCGGCTCGGCGTACTGGGCTCCTCGTCGGCCAGGGCTTCCTCCGGATCCAGTGACTGAAGAGCGGTCCGACACCGACTCGGGTCCGCGGCGACCGACGTTGCGGTAGGACTGGGCGGCGGGGGCGCCGGCGGCCGAGGCGCGCATCGGACGGCCAATCATGGAGCTGCGGGGCTGGCTGGTCTTCTGGTAGTTGTAGGCGCGGCGACCCCACTCGAAATGGGGCTCGTTGAGCGACTCCTGGTCGAGGAAGAGGAAGATGTAGAGGCCGACGACGGTCTCGATGGCCCAGAGCAGGACCTGGACGCCGAATGTGGCGTAGGCGAGCGGGACGACGTAGTTGATCAGGTCGCAGGCGTGGGAAAAGTCGTCGGGCTTGGGGTAGTGCAAATAGCCGTCGAACTGGCAGTTTTCGCGGCCGCGCAGGTCGGAGGCGTAGGCGAGGGCGCCCGAGACCCAGAGGACGCACATCGAGAACTGTAGGAGCAGCTCGATCTTGACCATGAAGAGGCCGTAGAGGAAGTCGCCGTAGCGGATGAAGGGCATGAGGGGGAGGAAGATGTTGTAGCCAAAGTAGATGATGGGGGTGAGGAGGCCGAGGATGATGATAAAGATGAGGGAGCCCCAGGACGGGCGGATGATTGGGTCGTGCGAGTTGTAGTAGTCGACGACGAGGATGGCCATGATGGCGGTGGCCAGGCTGAGCAAGCAGACGAGTCCGGTGATGAGGAAGCGGACGACGAGCAGAAGGTTGGGGTGCACGGCCGGAGGGAGCTTTTCCCTCGGTGGCTCGGGCACCGAGAGCGACTGGCGCGGCGGCAGCCCCATGTTGCTACACGCAATCTAACGCTTGTTCAGCGGAGAGCGAGCGGGCGGATGCGGGATGGGGTGTGACGGTGGCGACGGTGTCAGAACAACAGGCGACGGCGGCGACGGATTCTGAGCGAGCAGCGAGGCTGGCTGTAGGTTATGGTGGATCGGTCGAAGCGCGTCTCTGGTGCAGGGCGCAGGGGGTATAACAGGGACGGACACTGAGCGATGCTGTTCTCTGGCGTGCTGGCGGCCGTTGGCAGGCGCGATGAGCGAGGAGGTGACGGGCTGGCGGCAGGGAGGGCGTGATAGATATAGGGCGAGGGTCGAAGGAGGGGGAGGATGATGAGGTGTTGGCCGCCACGACCACGGATAGCTAGGAGAGGGGGGCTATGAGATGGAGATGGGGAAAGGATGACGGAGGAGGAGAGGCAAAAGGAAGGTGGTATCAGCCAAGCCAGGCTGGGTGGGAAGAGGAGGGGGGACGAGGAGGGGTGCGGGGAAGGGAGCGGAGAGGGGAGGGCGGGGCGAGGGGATCGAGGAGAGGCTAGGGGAGCGAGCAGCTGGGAGGGAGCGCGAGGACGAGGGCCAGGGCCAGGACGAGGGCGAGCAAGCGGGGGATCGGCGCGCGTAACGTCAAACGAAGGCCCCCAGACGGAGCCAAGCGGAAGGCGGTAAACGGGCGGCGGCGGCGGCGGCTCCCGTCGAAAGAAAAGAAGTTGTCAATTCAAGGGCCGCTCGAATTCAAACGACGGGTCCAGTCACGAATTGTTTGAATTCAAGCTGCGGGCGGAGGATCAAAGGGACAAAGAGGGTCGGCTAGAGGCCCAATAATTGAAAATCCGAGGCCCAGCTGCGCAACCCTCGCTCGACGATGGATGGATGGGAATTTTGGCTGGCTTCATCTCTTCTGGCTTGCTCGCCTGGCCCCAAGGTCTCGGACCGCCCGCCTTGGGCTCTGCGCCAGGCTGAACAACGGGGCCTCGCTCGCTCCCATCGCCCTGCCTGTCTTAGACACCGCCCAAGCCATGCCAGGCCAGCTCGTCGATGGGCGTGGTTGCCAAGTGCGGGCGATCCGGTCGAGGGCTAGCAAGGGGCGGGGATGGGAGGATAACCTAGCCTCTATCCATCGGCACCATCGCGGGCGCACACTCTATCTCTCTGTCCAACGGCGTCCTACAAGTGCTTGGACGAGGCGCAATCCATGACGACGGTCTCGATGGACGACCTACGCGGGCTCACGCAGCTGGGAGAAGGGATGGCTGGCTGGACAGGCAGGAACGACAAAGACCAGCCAGCCAACCTACATACAAACGCTTTGGGCGCGATGCATCATCGGCTGCGATGCCAGGCGTCGTCAGGCAGCAATAGCAGCTGTATGTTTGCTTTGCCCCGTTGAAGGCAAGAGCGAGGCTAGGCTTGGCTAGGCTAGGCTAGGGCCATCCATCGGTCGTGAAAGCTGCCAGCCCAAGAACAGCCAGCGAGCGGAGCAAGTCTAGGCTAGGGCCTGCCCTGCTGCCCCCGCCGGTAGATCCTGCCGCAACGACGGCCTGCCTTAGCCTGCCTACGCCTAGCCTGCCTGCTGGCCTGCTAGCCTGCCACCTCAACCGCCGTCCAACGGGACGCTTTAACCGAGGCGGCCAGGCGGTCATCCCGCCTGCACCCTGCTGCACATGCTGCACATGCATATGCTGCATCCGATTTTGCTTTAGCCGACGTGAGCCCTGCTGCCTCGCTCCCTCCCTCTCTCTGGCTGCGCCTCCCGCCAGGCTGGCTGGCTTTTCGTGTGCGGGGTCGGAGACTCAAAAGAAAAGATGCATGGCGGCGTATCGACGCAAAGCTCGCTCGTCTCCCCACAGCTGGGCCTGGGAGGTGCAGCGCAGCGCCACGTACGACGTCTCTCATCTCCGCTTTCTTTCCGGCTGCTGCGGTAGTCTCGACCTCTTCTCGTCGCGATACCGTCGTGGCCATCCATCACGCTCCTTCCTAGTCGAGCCGCACAGCCGCGCCGCTTCGCAAAGCCCGACAAGGTCTTGGTGGCGGCCGCATTTGCCCGATTGGGCGCCTCTTCCTCCGTCCCGACCACCCGGGACACGCCGAGCGCAGGCCACACCAGCAGAGATGGCATCCCTAGCATCATGACCGTCTATGGTATTGCACTGCTCTGTATCCGCAGCGGTTCGTCGAATGAAAGGACAGGGATGCGAGACGACCGTCGCGCAGCAGCAGGCCTGGCCAGATCAGGCCCCTCACGGCAGCGCGTCGAGGTCACCGAGGCTGTCGATGAGGAAGTCGGGCACCGTCTTGGCATCGGGCGCGTCGATCTCGGCCTTCCTCGAGATGCCCGTCAGCACCATCAGCGAGGCAATCTTGCCCTCCTTTGCAAACTCAATGTCCGTGTTGAGGCGGTCGCCCACCATGATGGCCCGCTTCGGGTCAAATTGCTTCCTGCGACGCGTAGCAGCAGCAGCAGCGTCGTAGCGAGCGAAGTGCGGAGGGATACAGATCGACGGTCAGCAAAGTCGGATCCATCTGTCTGTGCGAGCTACTGCGCTGGGCCAACGTATCGGGGAGGTTGAGCACTTACGTCGCAATGATACAGTCGAGCATCGGCTTGTGCGGCTTGCCCACGATCGTCGGCGTCCTCTTGGTGGAAAAGATGAGCGGCACCGAGAGCGACCCGGCCCCGGGCCAGGGCCCGCCCTTTGCCGGGAAGGTCGAGTCGTCGTTGGTGAGGATAAAGTGGCAGCCGCCACCCTCCTCGCCCTCCTTGACCTCGCCCTCGGCGCCCGGCCGCGTGAGGTGCTTGAACGCCTTGGCGAGCTTGATGTACGACATGTGCATGTCGAAGCCGCACACGACCGCACCGACCTTGGGGTCAATGGCCTCGGCCGACTGCAGCGTCGTGAAATCGAGCGCGGGCAGGAAGACATTGTCCTGAGGATTGGTGCCGCCGCAGTGGAGAATGCCCTCGGCGTCGAGCTCCTCCTCGATGCCATGCATACCAATCACGTACACCTTGCGGTCGGCCGGGAACTTGAGCACCCGCTTCAGGTAGACAGCCGAGGCGTACGACGACGAAAAGATCTCGGAAATGTCGGCCTGGATCTTCATGCCGGCAAACTTCTTGAGGTAGGTCTCGCGGCTCTTGGAGGCGTTGTTGGTGACAAAGATGACCTGCTTGCCGCGCTTGCGCAGCTTCTCGAGGACCGAGACTGCGCCGGGGATCGTCTCGTCGCCCGACCAGAGCACGCCGTCGCAGTCTGGATGTGGCCGGTCGCCGAACAGAGGGGAGCAGCAGGGCAGACCGTCAGCTCTTTGAGTCTCTGTCTGCGCGCTTCATTGAGGCTGGCGCCAACGGACCGCACTCACCAAAGAGGAAGGTGTCGTAGTCGTTCATCAGCTTCTCGTACGCCTCGACGCTCTGCAGATACGTGTAGGGGCCCTGAGACTTGACGCCATTCGTCGTTGCAGCAGCCGCCGCTGCCGAGCCCGCGCCGGCGATGCCGATCGCACCCGCTGCGCCAGCAGCAGCGCCAATGCCAACGGCCGAAGCGCCGTGGGTCACGTCCTGCTCGGCCGCCAGCTTGTCGGCGTGATCCTGCACGGCCTGGGATCCGGCCATGTCCGCAGGGGTGGGAGCGACGCCGGACGCGTCCGTCGACTTTGCCGCCGTCGAGGACGGTCCCTCCTGGTTGGGTGCTCCGGAGCCGCTACGCGCATAAGACGGATGCGTCCGTGTGCCGTCCTGGGCGATGCCGCAAAAATCGACGATGGTGTTCCAGTAGGTTTTGAAGTCGAAATCGTAGTTGTAGCGTCCGCCCGAGAACTCGACGTCGAGCTGCTCCACCGGGATAAACTCCTTGAGGTCGGCGTTGAAGCGGATCTTGTCCTTTGTAATGGGGTCGAGGAAAGGGGTGATGGCGGTGAAGAAGGCGTTGAGGATCCAGGGGACGTTGCAGACGAAGGCTCGGCCCATCCTCTCGACGTAGTGATTCTGGAGGATGTTGGCCACCTCTCGCGCGGTGGCGAGCGAGGGGTTGGACTGGGTGGTGGCGCCCTTGTAGTCGATGACGATGGCAATGTTGTCGACGCCCGGCGGCATCATGTCGACGGCGCGCTCGAGGCTCCAGACGAGGTAGCGGATCTGCCTCTGGCTCGGGGTGGTGTTCTCGCGGCCCGGACGGAGGTAGAGGACGGGCCTGCCCTCCTTGTCAAAGCCGCTGAGGACGTGCTTACCGGTCTCGCCCTCGACCGAGACGTCGCCCGGCGGGATAATCTCTGGGCGGAAGCTGCGCCTCCACTCGAGGGTGCCCTTGATCCTCTGCTTTGCGTTGTTGAGGTCGCCCTTTGCGGCGCGGAGGTAGCGCCTGTAGAGGTCGTCATCGGCGATCCAGCTCTGCTCCCATGGCTTGTAGTCGTCTTCCGGAGGGTTGGCGGCGACGTATTGGTGGAGATGGTCGCGCAGCTGGGCGAGCTTGTCGTGCTGTTCGGCGGTGAGCTCGGGTCGAGGCTTTGGGGTGCAGCCCTGCGCTGGGCGGACGAGGATGTCGTGGGTCTTTGGCGGGAGGCTTGCGGCGATGGACTCGACCGACTTGGAGGAGCGGATCGAGTTGGCCTCGGAGTTTTGCCGCCCGAGCCTGGAGAGGAAGCGCGACATCTAGAGCGGGATCAGAGGACTGAGATGAGCGGCAGGGGCGGTGGTGGCAGAGGAGGATTCGAGCGGCGATGAACCAGCAGCCGCAGCAACAACGACCAGGAGGATGCAGGGCGAGGACGGACGACGATGCGGAACAGATGGGTTGGGGCGAGGAAGGAGACGACGAGGCAAGGACGAGGAGGACGAGGAGGAGGCGATGCCTGGGGTCGCTGCCCCACCAACCATACTCGCCCGGGCCCATGCGTCTCTGTCTGTCTGTCTTTGCTTGGCGGCCCGAAATCTGGCTGGCGGGCCAAAGGGACGGGTTTGCCGCCTTGCTTGGCTCACCCAACCCAACTCCCCGGAGGTAACCCCGGCGAAAAGCTGGAAGAAAAGGCCCGGCGGAAGTGGGCCGCGCTGCCCGCCTGGCCTGCCCCTCCGCCCACGTCGATAAGCCAGCTGCCCCGATCCAGGCAGGAATGACGGAGCGCTGTCACCTGCGCCTCCCGATTTGAGGACCCTGGCGGGCTTGCACGGTCTGGCTTGGTCTGGCCTGGCCTGGCGACGTGGAGGTTGGATGTTTTGCCCCCTCCGCCCGTCTGCCTTGTGCTCCACGTCGTCGTCTGACTCTCGAGCCAGAGCCTGGTCCCCACCCACCATCATCACCCGGACGTGGCGCCCGAGCCGCTTCTCTTCGCTCCCCTTCGATCCCGCTTGTTGCTGCCACGCTGGACTGCCACGCTGGACTTGTCGCTCTGACAGGGCTCGACATCGCATCTGGCCGCCTCGCCCTCGACGACAACCGCTCGCATCGACTCCGTACATCCCTCGACCTACAAGAGGAGAGCTGCCGCTGCCTCAATCTGCCCCGACAGACACCTCTCCATCCCACGCAAACGATCACCCGCCGTACCGCACTCACCATGACCGACGTCGATGCAGACATTCCGGGCTTCGTTCATGACCTCCTCAGCAGCGTCATCCCCTACCCCGTCTTCCGCATCCTCGCCGGCTTCTCCAACCTCATCTACAGCCTGCTCGGCTCCTCCAACAACCCCGCCTCTTGGACATCGACGCTGCTACCGCCCCTTTTGACCTTCTTCCTCGCCTACACCGCCCTCGTCATCGCCTACCGTACCGTCCGCAACGCAATCTCCCTCGCCTGGTGGGGCATCAAGTGGGGCGCCATCATCGGCGGCCTCATCGCCGTCTGGGCCTGGTGGACCGACAACACCGGCGCCATCAACTCGGTCGGCCAGGCTCCCCCCTCTGGCATCTTTGACCAGATCGGCCGGTGTGAGTGGCTCCGTGCCGAGTGCTGCCGCTACCTAGGCCCCCCGGCCCATCGCATCTACAGGTGCCTCGTGTTCTGATGATGTGCTCCTTGGTCGATTCCGTGCGCCTTCATGTCGGCTTCTCATCTGTCTGTCTGTCCGCATCAGCGCTCGGTCTATGGCGAGGCTGAACTCTCCCCTCCCGTCGCCTCCCTCCGCCATCCATACCCCATTCACCGACAATCACCATCACTGCTCCTCGCTGGACGCATTCATTCCTTGGCCCACACGCAGTGAACAGCTTCATGTCCAACCCGGCCGTATCAGCGCTCTACTCGCAACTATCTTCCAACACCGGCGGCTCCGCGGGCTCAGGATCTCGAGCGCGGCAGTCGTCGCCCTACTCGTCACGTGAACGCAAGCCGTTCGATCAAACCAGGCGGCGCAACCGTCGCAACGCTGGCAGCAGCGGCGGAGGCATTGATGACTTCCTGCCAGCCGATCTCGGCGGCGGGCTCGACGCGTTCAGCGACCTGCTGGGACGAGCGCGCAACAACGACGGCCTCGATGACAACCACAACAACAACCCTGGTGGTGGCGGCGGCGTCGACTTTGCAGGCCTGCTCGGCTCGATGATTGCGGCGGGTCAGCAGCAGGGAATCGATGCGGCATCGGCCCTCCGCGCTGCCAGCCGGGTGCAGGACGAGGTCAGAAGGTTCCAAGAGAACCCAGCGGCGTGGCTGGCGTCCATCGGATCCAGCTTCCGCGCGGACGGTGGTGTCGGGCCCGGGTCTGGCGGCGAGGACGACGAGCCGGTGGGATCGCGGACGAGGGCGCGAGCCAGGCGAGGTCGAGCTGCTGCCCGCTAGTCGTCCTGACCGAGTGTCGATCTAGACTTGTTGGGGGGCATGGGCCTTTGGAGGAGACGTGGTCGCTGCACCGTACCCACCGGCAGCGTGTGCCGTCCGCAGGTAATATCATCCGATCAGACCGAGATACAAGAGCCTCGAGGAGCGCGCTTTGGACAGAGATGGAGGAAGGCCCGAAGCGACCGTCAAGAGGCTCGCTAGGCGAGGAGGGCAAAAGAGTTGTCTAGTCACACATTTGTGTTGCTGAAGCGTAACGGGAGGTGAGGAACGAGCCTGGGTTTGGTTTGACGGGCTTGAATAGAGGTGACGGTGGAACCGCGTAGCGTTTGAAGGCCGGCCTGGCGAGGATAGGATGGCATGATCGAGCGCCGGGAGTGCGCTTGGATCGAGCGCTCGAGAAGCACAAGGGGCCTACGGCGTTGCATCGGTCTTTGGGACACGGTCGCAAAAGGCTCTCCGGCGGCGTTTCGAGAGCGAAGCGATGCGGGATCACTTCATGGTGACGACGTCCCTCTTGAAGTACTGGCTGGCCCTTGCCGCTGCTACGCCGCTGTCAAAGATGAACTCGCCGAGGCCGAGGTACTTTTCGACGAATCCTTTTGTCGTGGGCTCCGAGATGCGGTCGACATCGGGGGCGAGGCCCGTCTGCCTCTTGATGCCGGCCAGGAAGGTTGAAAACAGCATAGCGTCGGCGCCGTAGTGGATCAGTCGGCCGAGCATCTCGCGTGTGTGTGAGTGGCTGTGGAGGGGTTGAGGTGCGGAGGTGGGAACGTGTTGCGCAGACCGTTCTGGACCGTGCTGCGATGAAGAGACGAGACTTGCAGCCGAAGACGTGAGGTGCGTGGAAGGGCAAGGATGGACGAGCTGGAGATGGAGATGGAGGAACGGGAAGAGGAGAGAGGATCGAGACGTGGCAGATGGTGGCGAGGCGGGAGAGGGGTCCGAGGCCTGGGGAGGTGGCCTAACCGCGCAGGCGACAATAGCGGCCTCAGCGTATGTGATGGCTGTGCGGGCTCGGTTCCGGGCCAAGAGACGCAGGTCAAGGCGCCAAGGGCCTGGCCTGCGTGGGTGTGTTTGTCTTTGACGCTCCTCCATCGCTTTTTTTGACGCCATCCCTCAGCCCTCTCTCGCGCTCCCATTCCTCCCCCTGCCTGTCCCCACTCGCTCGTCCTTGCTGCCCTCGACACCCTCCTTCCCTACGGAAGCGCAGCTGTCCCCCGCACCATGGCCTTCTCATTCGGCGCACCGGCCGCAGCGCCTTCCGGCCAGCCAGGCGCCTCCACATCCGGCTTCTCGTTTGGCCAACCACAGAACAAGCCCGCCACGACCACCGGAGGCGGCTTCTCGTTTGGACAGCCGGCAGCGTCCCAGCCGCAGGCGACGGGGTCCACTGCCGCCCCGGCTGCTACGGGCGGTCTGTTCGGCGCCTCGACGTCCCAGCCCCAGCAGCAGCAGCAGGGCGCCGCTGGCCCCTCGAATACTGGCAGTACCTTCTCATTTGGTGCCCAGCCGCAACAACAACAACAGCAGCAGCCGCAACAGCAGCCAGCATCTACAGGGTTCGGAGGTGGTCTGTTTGGATCCTCGACCAACACTGCCGGAGGAACCGGGGGAGGCTTCTCGTTTGGTAAACCACCCCAGACCACACAGCAACAGCAGCAGCAGCCTTCCACTTCCCTCTTCGGAGCATCAACGTCGACCGCGCCTAGCTTTGGTGCGAGCCAGAACGCCGGGACGGGCATGGGCGCAGGCTTCGGTACGAGCTTCGGTGCGGGTGCAGCTGGTCAGCAGCCGCAGCAGCAGCAGCAGCAGCAGCAAGGACAAATGCAGCAGCAACAGCAGCCGCAGCCGGATAAGAAGCTCGGCCTCTCTCTGGCGCCCAAGATCGAGCAGATCCGTGCAGCGTGGGACACGCGCAACGCCGCTGCTTGCCGCTTCCTCTACTACTTCTACAACAATGCCGGCAACGCGCAGAACCTCAAGATGATCCAGGGCAGGAGGCAGGATGCCGTGGGATCGCTGCACGATCAGCTGTGGGCCGCTGCCATTCGAGAGAATCCGGACCCGAACCGGTGAGTGGCACACTGAAAAGCTCGACGTCATGCCATTGGGCATCTAGTCCGTCCGGCTGACCCTTGCTCGGCCGCTCCTTCCCCAACGGACCGCGACAACAGCCTCTACCCGGTGCTTGCCCTCGGATTCCCAGACCTTCAGAAGCGAGTGCAGTCCCAGACGCTCGAGGCCAGTCGCCAACGCACGCTCCTCTCTACGATCTCGACGCGCCTCTCGACGCTGGACCAGAAGCACGCCCTGACCAATACGGTGCGATACGCCGCCGCCTCGTCGCGGCAGACGCAGCTGCACCACCGCCTCGTCTCGCTCATCTCCAAGTGCGCCGTCCTCATCCCGGCGCTGCGCGGCAAGAGCATCGGAAAGGAAGAGGAGCGGCTCATGGCCATTCTCGAGGCGTGCGAGCGCGAAATCGTAGGCGTCAAGGGTGCCGGCGGGGCTCGGTTGAGGGCCAAGGTCAATGAGCTCTGGGCCATGCTCGGCGTCGTCAAGGCCAAGAGGGAGACGATGGCCAGGGAGGGTCGGAGGGATGGGACCGAGTGGGCCGTCGTCGACGAGCAGGGACTGGACAGGGTCGCAAAGGTGAGCCCCGCGATCGCGTCGCTCTTCTTCTGTCCCGGCCGATCACACCTCGAGAGAAGGCCAGAACGCGTCGGTCAGAAGAGCTCCGGGCTGACCATGAGAGGTCGGATCGTTTGTTTTTCACTTGCCCGGCCGTCTTCTGTCCACTGCACAGATCCTCTCGTCGCAGCAGCAGGGTCTCAGCCACCTCAGCACCACGCTCGTCCAGGACACCAAGACGATGGAGACCATCATGCAAGGCTTGACCGGAGTGAAGCTCGTGGGCGTCACCAACCGATAGGCGGCGACCAGGGTCGCTCCTGGTCGTCGATGAGCTCGGCCGTTGTCAATCGATGGAGCCCTCAACTGCCATGCTCGATGGCTGCACGTCGTCAGTCTTCCCTCGGTCTCGAGAGCGCACACAGTCGATTCAGTGCTCGAGCGAGCTGTCCACGATGTCCCTGACGAGGTCTATGCGAGTGCGATTTCGTCAGAGTGGGCGACATTTCCCACGTCGTGTCATGTCATCGATCTGTCCAAACCTTCTCCACCAGTCCCCAGTTCCTCGGCTCAGGCAGGCAGGAAGCCGGCGTAGACGACGACGCCAACATCCGGGATCTTCTTGACCTTTTCGAGGTCGCCAGTCTGTACGTTGCGCTTGAACAGGACGAGGTCCTGGCTGTCCTGGTGGGCCGAGACGAGGTAGCCAGCGGTGCCGTCGGCGGGCGAGCTGAGGGAAAAGTGGCGCGGCAGCAGGCCGCCGCTGCCGATCCACTTTTCAAAGCGGAGCGTGCCCTGGTGAGCGTCGCGCGAAAAGATGGTGATGTGGTCCTCCTTCTTGTCGCCGCGGTTCGAGACGTAGACGAAGCGGCCGTCGGGCGACACCTCAATCTCGGCCGTGGTGCGGTTGGTGGGCAGGATGCCGGGGCCCGAGAGCGGCGTTCCAGCCGGGAACGGGTAGAGGGGTTTGCCGAGCTGCTTGAGCTCTCCCGTCGCCGCGTCGTGCTCAAAGGCCGTGACGGTCGACGAGAGCTCCGAGGCGAGGTAGGCGTACATCTTGTCGTCGCCCGCCTTTTTGCTCGCGTCGGCGAGCGAAGGGTAGAAGGTGATGTGGCGAGGCCCGCTGCCGACATCGACCTTGGTGTCGCCCTTGTACTCGACCTTGGCCGCCTGCTGGCCCTTTGCGGCCGTGATCTGGAAGCGGTGGACGACATCGGCGCCCAGGTCGCAGATGTAGACCCAGTCGCCGGTGGGCGAGATCTGAGTCTGGTGCGCGTAGCTGTGGTCCTGGCGGTCCTTGACCGGTCCGGTGCCCTCTCGGGTGAACTGGTAGGTCTGCCTCGAGGACTCGTCAATCTCGCCCGTCTTGGGGTCGAGGTGGAAGTAGGCGAGGGAGCCCGTGCCGTAATTTGCCACAAAGAGCATGTTGGCCGAGGCGCCGTGGCCGACGCTGCACGAGACGGGCTCCTGGCCCTTTGACGAGACGGGCTGGCCGATGGGGTCGAGCTGCAGCGGGTCGGCCGACTTGAGCGAGGCGGCAAACATGTTGCCCGAGGCGCCGTCGGCGATGTAGAGGATGCGGCGCGAAGCATCCCGGCTGCCCGTCGAGAATGAGGGGGCATAGCAGACCCAGCCTGGGTTCTGCCCGAACTGCTTGGCGGCCACGTTGGCGGGCGCGGCGTCGAACGAAGACGTCGAGGGGTCGACGCTGTAGGGCAGGACGGTGCCGTTGTAGGTCGTGGCGAGGATGCGCAGGTCCTTGGACGCACCGGCGCCGGCGCCGGCCTGGCTGTTGCTAGAGGCTGCGTCAGTCATACCGGAGAATAGGGAAAGGAGGGCGACAAAGCCCTGGGTGATGCGGAGCGGCGAAGGCATGGCGGTAAAGAGGAGCGCAGACGTCAGTCGCCGTTGTGATCGTGGACAAGGACGGAGCCTGGTAGAGCGGGGAAGGAAGGGCGGTAGGGAAGGTGATGGGAGACGAGAAGGAAGATGGACCTGGTGCGCAACTCACACCAGACTGCAAGGCTCCTGCTCAAAAGCTTTATATGCAAGGCTGTAGGGGGCAGCGGCAGGCGTGCCACGGGGGGCGAGGCGATCTGTGCTGTCGTGTCACTGTACCGGCAACGGTCCAGCCGCCGTGCGTGTCATAAAAGAGAAGAGAGAGCGTGGGGGGCAACGAAGAATGGGGACCATGGTCGCCGGGCCGGCAAAAGAGGTTGAGGTTGTTGGTCAGCCAAGGAGAGGTGGGGGAGAGAAGCAACTTTGACAAGCGAGTCGCTAAACGAGGGGCGAGGTGCATATGGGCGGGGCGGGCCCGGTACGTACGTGCGTGCGTTGTTTGGTCGCTCAGAGCCACACAATGGCTGCACCACGGGGACGAGGATGGTTGAGTGGAAAAGGGAAGGAGCGGGAGGTGCTCCTGCTGGCCACACCTGGACGTCGTCGTGGACCTTAAGTACAGTCTCTGCCACTCTACTCTGGTGCTCGAAGCCGACCGCAGGAAGGACGAGGCGGGGAGGTGCCGCTGAGTGAAGGGAGGGTCGGGTCTGCGGGCGGCAGAACGTCACACCCGACACCAGAGCGTCCACTGGTGCCCCACTTTGGCCGACGCCCGATGCCGGGCCCAGGCAGGCGGCGGGAAGGCGGGGCGCTGACTGACCCCAGCTGGCGACTGGCCGGTTGCGCACCTCGTGAAGCGCCTCAGCTTCCTTCTTCTTGTCTGTTACATTGCGGCGTCACAAGGCTGCCCAGGCAACGTCTTGGCCACAGTGAACGGTCACAGCAGCATGCTTTGGGCTGGCTCGCCCCCTTTTTCAACGTTTCTCCCCGACCTTGAGCACTAGAAGCTTCCTCGTAACGAAGCTCAGGGTTGCGCGGTACAGCCTATCGGCCTGTCCGGTCTTCCGGCGGGTGATCCGACTACATCGCCGGCGCGGGTGACCCGACGGCCGACCGCAGGCCATCAACTTCTCTCAGTCCATCGGCCTTCCTCAATGACAAACACACAACGATCGGTCCGGGGCCGGCCTCTGCGCCGAAGTTGGCTTCCAAAATGTGCCGACCACGGGGGCAGTCTGCTAGTAGCGCGGCGCAGGAGGACCATTCTTCTCGAGCTCCTTGAGCCAGCGCGGCTTCAGCCGCTCGGAGTATTGCCGGCAGTCGAGGTCGGACGCCCGCAGCGTCTTGACGGCATCTGAGCCTGCGACCAGGATCGAGGGACAGCAAAGGGGTGCGCGCCAGGGCTGTCAGCTGGGCCCGCGCTACAGACGAGGGCTTCATCGCGCAACGTCTGCGACCCGCGCAGCGACGAAGACTCACCTTTGACCGTAGACCCGTCGGACTGGTTGATTACGAGGAGGTTGTCAATGTCGGCACCGGCCGCCGTGGCATTGACCAGACTCCTGCGGCTCTTGAGCTCCCTGGGGACGCCCTCCTCGAGGTAACGCTTGTTGGCCGCCACATTGAGCGTGAGCCTCTGGACGTGGGGCGAGGTCCAGTGGATAAAGTCGCCCAGGCCCGCCTTGCGATCCGGATGCTGCTGCTCGGCCTCGCGCTCCTGCTTGTCCGAGAGCCACTGGTACGGCCTTGGCTCCGTGGGCGGGGTCCCCGAGTACCTCATCTGCGTGGTCGAGGGCAGCCGCTGCTTGTCCTTCTTGGAACGCACCGGTTTAGAAGGATCAACGCGCGACGTTCGCGCCTGATACGCCTCGCGCTCGTCGCGTTCCAGCGGCGTCCAGTTGGCCTTCTCGAGGAGCTCATCGACCTTCAGGGTGATGGCCCACGCGACGGGGAGCTCGACGGCCAGGTGCTCGGCCTCTTGCGACTTGATGCTGTCCTTGAGCTCTTTAATGTGCAAGCTGTCGGCCTCCTCCCAGAGCTCGTCGATCTCGGCGCGGTTCATTTTGCCCAGCCCGAATTGTTTCTTCATCTCGCCCATCTTGGCCGTCAGCTTTTCCTTGTACTCGATCCGCTTCTTGCGCCGCTCATCCTCAGCCGCCGCTCGCTCCTTGCTGAAATGCTGCTGGAACGGGTTGCGGATGGGCAGGCGTGGGAACAGGTCGGTCGTCTGGATTGAGAAGGGGTGGCGGTCCGAGCCCGTACGACGCCAGACCCCGTCCTTGTGGAACAGACTCGCAAAGGTGTGCATCTGCTTGTCCCACGCACCCAGCGCGTGCGTGACCCTTTGCCGCTCGCCCTCCTTGTCGATGAAAGAGCATTCGGCAAGGTGTATCGGTATGAGGAGCGGGTAGGCCGCCAGCATGTGGGTCTTGAGCGTCTCCGGTTCAAAGTGGACAGGAGACAGCTTCGGGTTGCCCGTCTTGTAGTTGCTCCACGCCCGCCCCGTGCGGCCGAGCTCCTCCTCAAGATCCTCTCTTGGGATCTCGCCCTCGATGGTGCGGTCCTCGGGCGCGAGGTCCTTCCTGAGAAGTTCCGGCAGGTGGAGCGGCGAGATGTTGAAGGGCAGCGGAGGCGGTATACCTCCCTCGATCTCGACGCCCTTGGGATGCAGGTGCTTCTCGGGGTCGTAAAGTTCGTAGTCCATCATCAGCTGGTAGTTTCTCTGTGCCGGATCGAGCGTCTGCTGCGGCTGATCTGGGCTGACGGGGGCGTCGCTGGGATAGTCGGGGTACATGGGCATGGTGGTCATGGGCCCCCACGAGTTGCCGGGGAAGCGGCTCTTGGTGGTGAGCAAGGTGACCTCTGCGCGGCCGTTTTCGCCGCGGCACCTGAGCTCGACGGAAGCGTTGACCATCCAGATGGGCAGGTAGAGGGCCGAGATCTTTTCGAACGTGACGACCCTTTCGCGCACCTCTTGCGCAGTCTCTCCGCCAATGGTGAGAGCGTAGTGGAGCTTGAGGTGCTCGTACCAGGAACGGTGATGCTGGAGCACGCCGCCGGCAGTGAAGGCGTGCAGAAACTGCCTTGCTTCCTCCGTGCCGACGCGGAAGGGGAGCACCTCGACCTTTGCCCGGTAGCGCTTCGGAACCAGGTTGGCCGGGTCGACGGGGCGAGAGGGTGAGGCCGACGAGGGGGGTGTGGGAGGTTTGGCATTGCTGCCACTGCGCCGCGAAGAAGTCGAGGTGAAGCGTGGGCCAAAGCTGTCCGCGAGGCCTCGCCGCGAGTCGAGGCATTGTCGGCAGGTCTTGAGGTGCACAAAGGCCTGCGAGCTGGGCAGCAGTGTTCGTGATGATGAAGTTGGGGCCAGCGCATGACGTGCCGTCGCTGTGAGGGCAGCAGCGCTGAGCAGGGCCATGATGAGGACGGTGGGGCGTCCTCCGGCAAGGGCACGCTCTGCTGTTGGCTGAGGGTGCGCTGATGGAACAAGAGACGGGCTAGGAGGAGCACAGCGATGGCGAAGAGGAGCGGGCGGGCAAAGAAGAAGCGAGAGTGGCCCTCCTGCGGGCCAGCGAGCTCTAAACCACGGCAGCGCAGGCAGGCAAGAAAGGGCCAAGCGGTCAAGGTGGAGAGCATCGGAGCCGCAGCCATGGGCCCACTCGGCGGCGACTTCCGGAGGTGGTGGCCCGACGCCCGCCCACTTCGCCAGGCTGGCCTGCCCGCCAGCCTGCCAACCGCGCAACCGTGCCCACCCTCGACCTTCTGCACAGTCTCGGAAGCCACCGAGGTGGTGGGTCGACAACTGCTTGCTTGCTTGCTTCCTTCCCGCCCCTCATACAGGTTAAAGACGGGACTCGTCCTCGCCCGTTTTCTCGCCGCCTCTGGCCATTTCCTCCCCCCTACCAGACCTCACCCGGCCCCACTCTGCTCCAAGCAGCCGTCCACACCATGTCGTCGCTAGCCCGGGCTGCGGCCACCAGGAGCCTCGGCGGAGCATCCCGACGCCTATCCGGTGGCCTCCCCCTCCGTCACTACTCTTCGCCGTCCTCTTCTGCTTCCTCGTCAGCACGGTCAACGGCGGCTACCTCTTCTTCCCACAGACTGCCCCTGGCCGCTACGGCCCTCGTCGCATCTCTTGCCACCGTCTACGCCCTCAACGCCTCCACCTCGCCCTCGGCCGACCGGACCATCCACTGCGATGCACCCGCACCCGCGCCCAAGCCTACAGGCGTCTCGAGCATTAAGGGCGGCAACTTGTCCGACCTTCCCGAGATCTCCCATCTCGACCCGTCGCTCCTCGACAACACCGACGCCCCGATGAGACAGCGCATGGAGACCTACGTCAAGCTGCTCCAACACCGCATCGTCTCGGCTCTCTCCCAGGAGGAGCCTACCGCCCGCTTCCTCATCGACAGCTGGCTGCGCAAGGAAGGCGGCGAGGGCATCTCGTGCGTCCTCCAGGACGGCTCCACCTTTGAAAAGGCCGGCGTCAACATCAGCGTCGTGCACGGCACCCTCCCGCCGGCCGCCATCCGCCAGATGAGCGCCAACCACGCTGGTCTCATGACCAAGACCGGGTACCGCCTCGAGGGCCCCGACGCCGAGGTCAAGGGGCTGCCCTTTTACGCCGCGGGCCTCAGTCTCGTCGTCCACCCAAAGAACCCCTTTGCACCCACGGTCCACTTCAACTACCGCTACTTTGAGCTCGCCCACCCGGAGAAGCTCGCCGACGGATCGCCCAACCCGCGGCACCCGTCCAACGGCACCGGAGAGGCCAAGGACGAGCCAATAGCCTGGTGGTTTGGCGGCGGAACCGACCTGACGCCCATCTACCTCTTCGACGAGGACGCCAGGCACTTCCACAAGACGCTCAAGGCCGCAGCAGACGCCCACGACACCGCCTTCTACCCGGCATGGAAGAGGTGGTGCGACACCTACTTCCAGATCCCGCATCGTGGCGAGGCTCGAGGCATCGGCGGCATCTTCTTCGACGACCTCACGCTGCCCGAGTGGTCAAAGGGCGCCGGCGGACGTGGCAGCTTCATCCCGCTCTCGGACGGGCAGAAGGCGCCCACGTCGGCGCTCTCGTCGCTCCGCCCGCACACGCAGGACAGCTTGTTCTCGACGGTCAAGTCGATGGGCGACTCGTTCCTGCCCGCCTACCTGCCCATTGTGCAGCGCCGCAAGAACATGCCCTATACCGAGGCCCACGAGCGGTGGCAGGCGCTGCGTCGAGGAAGATACGTCGAGTTCAACCTCGTCTACGACCGCGGCACCAAGTTTGGGCTCCAGACGCCCGGCGCCAGGATCGAAAGCATCCTCATGAGCCTGCCGCTCAAGGCGAGATGGGAGTACATGGAGAGGTGGGGCGGTGGCGGTGCCCAGGGCCGCGATGGAAAGGGAACCGAGGATAGCGATGGCCGCGAACCAAAGGACGGCGAGGAGGGCGCAGAGGAGAGAAGGATCCAGCAGGTCCTCCGCCACCCGCGCGACTGGGCGTGATGCCGCGGTAGACGACAACAGAGCGGCGCGCGGCTGCCGCTGCCGCAGACCATACGCCTTGTTCGCCTAGACAGCCCCTGCTCAAACACCGCTCCTTGCCACACATCTGCATCTGACCGAGGATGCTCGTCCACAGCGGGCATCCACAGCTCTTCTATGTCTCGTGAGCGGGTACGACGTCATGCATCGCTCGTCCGTCTCTTTTTCCCGCTGCCATCGCCGCTTCTCCCAGAGGCGTCCCGATTGTCGCTGCCCTCGTCATCGCCGCCTCCGCTGCTGACGGTGTTGCTGAGGACGCTAGCTCTGCTCTTGACGCGACGGTGACCACTCGGCGATCGATTCGACGAAGGCGAGGGCGAGAATCCGCCTGCGCTCTGTGTCGATCGTTTCTTGCCCAGCCTCGCCGGAGTGACGACGTCACCTTGGTGCATCGGCAGGAGCAGAGGCGCGGACTCGCCGGTCGAGCCGTACGACGATGATGGTCTAGCATGGTGCTGGTGCGCCGCGTTGAGGTTAAGCGGAGGTGGTGGGGTAGCGAGGAGCAGGTAGTGCCCCGGGCTCAGGCCCGTGGGTCGATCGAGGTTGATCAAGCCCAGTCGCGGCGTGCGCAGCCCAATCGACGTCGAGAGGATGCCAGTCGTCGTCCCCGCCGACCTGGCTACTTCCGATGGCGCCTGGCTTCCGCCTCCTGACGCGGTGGGGAAGCGGCTCGGAGACGACGTGCGAGACCGCTGACGAGACGTTGACTGCGCGAGGATCGAGAAGGGCACCGATCCCGTTGTCATGGCCGAGGGGGCCGGCAGGGGACCAGGTCGACCAGGAAGTGGCGAGAGTCTGTTGGGCGTGTGGATCTTGACGAGCTTGCGGTTGCTCGACGACGGTAGCGCCTCGACCGGCAGCGCCGCGATACGACCTCGGCTGGTCGACCTTACCCCCCTCTCATCGCCGCCGTGCCACGACCGGGTCATCAGCCGATCGCGCTCGCCAGCCGCCTCCGTCTCCTCTCCCTCGTCTTCGTCACCTTCGTCTTCTTCCCCACGGCCTCCGCCATTCTCGTCGTCTTTCTTGCGCGTGAGGACAAACACGCCGGCGAAGGTGGTGAGGCAGCCAAAGAGGAAGTTGATGAGGCGGTTGGCGTCGGTATCCTCAAAGTCGCGGTAGAGGATGGCGGAGCCGACAATGGCCGAGATCGTGAAGAGGACGAATTGCGTCGGGATCACCTCGCGGCTGTCGAAGCGCTGCAGCGCCCGGTTGAGGTAGGTGATCTGCACCACGGCGGTCACTGCCAGCACGACGACGAGCACGTAGGTGATGGGGTACTTGAGCGCCTCGATCGGTTGACCGCCCGAGATGAGAGACGAGATGCCCTTGGTCGAGAGCACGGTGAAGCCGCCTGCAATCGGGGCGCGTACGGTGCAACGGAGCCAGCCGCGTTTTGGAGTCAGCTGCAAAAGTCATCGAAGGGGAGAAACGGCGGCACGAGCTGAAGGCGACTCACCAAAGATGGCGCAGGTGCCCACATCGACCAGCACCCACCGGTCCGCGTACCGCGATCGGCTGAGAAAGGCAAGAAAGAGGCCGAGGCCGATGGAAATCGAGGCGTAGACGACGAACTCGATCCGCTTGATGGCGGCAAGCAGCGCGTTTGGGCCCAACCGGTCGTCGCTCTGCTTCGAGCTGAAGACGACGGTGACTGCCCCAATGATGGCCAGAAGGATGCCGCCGATGTCGGCCGCCTTGAAGCGCTCCTTGAGCAGGATGGGCGAGATGATGACATTCGAGAGCAAGGCGACGGCGCCCAGGGGCGCCACCAGGGAAGCTGGCGCGAAGCCGTAGGCTGCGCAGGTCAGGGACAGCAGGGGGGCGTGGCGGGCATGGATGGTGAGGTCAGACGGAGATCAGATCGTGGCGTAAGGGAGGGAGACATTGTGGTTGCCGCCGGACCCACAGATAAAGTTGCCGCCTTCTCCGATGGTCATGAGGGCGATGCCCAGCCACCACAGCTTGCTCTTGAGGTACTGCGTTCCCGGGCTGCTGCTCTCGTTCCCATGATCTGCTCCATCTTGACCACCGTCGTCCTCTTCTTCGTCGTTGTCGTCCTCCGAGGTCGGCTTCTGGTGCTGTGAACGATGCGAACTGTCCTGACCGTCTCGCTCGCCGTTGTCCGAAGCGGCCTCGCTATCGAGGAGCGTCTGCTTGGTATAGCTGGCGGCACCGCTGCTGCTAGTCGTGGAGCTGCTGGCTGTTTCGTCCCGTGAGCGCTTCCCAATCCGCCGAGTGGCGGACGTAACGAGCTGGGGCCCGGCCGCGTTTGCATCCTCCCCCTCGTCGCCGACCTCTTGGTCGTCAGCCTGTCGAAGATCCTGCCGAGTCTCGCAGTCGGGCCAGTCGGTCTGCTTTTCCGGAGGGCTGCTCTCCCGCTGGAGACGGAGATGTGCCAGCTTTTGGCAGTTGAGGGCAAGGCTGATTGTAATGTTGCCTGCGACGGCGACGACCACACCGATAAAGGACTGCGTGGAAGGCATCTTGGTGACAACGACGCGAGGCGTGGCCTGCCAATCTAGATGGGCGGTTTGCTCCGGTCTCGGGAGGGCTCCGGGATGGTTCCAAGCCGAGCCTTGGCCTGCCGAGTAATACACTTCAAGGCGGTGTCGACTGTCTTGGCATGGGCTCTGAACGTACGTCGGTCCTGTCCCGAACAGAAGGAGAGGCTGCCTCGGATGGGCCGGGGGCGGTGTCGAGCCGACGTCGATTTCAAGCAGAGGTGAGGGAATGTAGAAGGATCGGACCGGACCGGACCAGCGAAAGCGACGAGGAGGTTTAGGGTGGGGTGGTCGGCGACAGGAGAGTGACGAGGGTCGAAGGGTTGTCGATGCTGCCCCTCCCTCGTTTGGGCCTCCTTCGGCCGGCCCGCGGCCATCGAAGCGAGGCCGCATGTGGAGGGAAGGGGGGCTCGAGCTGCATCGCCGCCTGCCGATGGCCCTCGCTCTGCCGATTCGCGCTTGGAAGAAATCGGGCCCTCAACCTGGGCTTCACCTTGCCTGCCTTCCGCCAAAAGGGCAGCCTGTGAACGTGCCATTTGCCACCATATGCAAGGTGTTGGACTCAGGATTGATTGTGGGCCCCTTCCCCCGCTACTCCCTCGATCCACTTTGCAATGCTCGGATCGGAAGGAGCGACAATACCGATCCCATAATGAACCAGTAATGGACGTCTACATGCGAGGCGCGACCCTTCAGGCTGGCGACGCCGGGCGGAAGGGAGTCACAGAGTCTAGTCTTTCCGATAGATTGGCTGCCTACCTGCCGCTCCGTCGACCAAAGTGCCCCGCTTGAACGGCAAGCAAGCCGAGCGTGCAGCCGAGACTCCTACCTAGGGCCTGCCGGTGCCTGCCGGTGCTTTCACGGTAGCACCATTGCCACCTTTGGCGGAGCTAGACGAGGGGACCGCGGATCACCCTGCCTGCCCCTGGATGAGTGGCAGCCCGGATTTCGCGCTCGCGTAGGGCAGAGGGAGCACAAGCGACGAGGCGGTTCAAGGAACGGCGGTGACAGCTCAGACACGCCCAGGCGATTGAGATTTCTGCAGAGGCCAGCCGAGACAGGACAGGGCAGGACAGGACGAGACGGGATGTGACGAGGCGAGACGGGACGAGGCGATACGAAGCGGGTCGGGCTCGGGGTGGTATACTGATACAGGAGAAGTTGCGCGGGAAGGGACAAGGCGGGACGGGAGACCGTGATCCCGATGCGACGTCGTGAAGGAGGCTTGACGTATCCAAGACACCGAGATGAGAGAGGGAAAGAACGAGCGCATGCGGGACAGTGGGAAAGCGATGTGGGAGGGACACGGTTCGAGGAGGTGGAGCGAGCATGGCTGAGAGGCCGAAAGAAGGTAATGGCGACGGCGACGGGCAGCGCTTCGCCGGACGTTTCGGCGTCGCATCGAGCGGCCAGCTCGCGAGCAGGGTCAGGTCGAGGATGGCGAGAGCAGTGATCCAGATTAGACGGTGAAGTGCTTGATTAGCGCGAGTCCCCTTGCGGAGGGCGGGAGCCAGGGGAGGCAGCCACGGAGTAGGTCCGGACGACGAGATCGCATTAAGGAGGCTGCCGGCTCCGCAAGGGAAATCTTTAGGAGGTCGATGAATGCTGAAGAGACTTCTTTTGGGCGAGTGTGGGTCGACGGGGGCCTACCAGAGGCCCGTCGGCTGCTGCATCAGGACGGGGGCGCCGATCGAGGTGGGCGAGCCATTGACGCTGACACCGCCGCTGGGGCTGAGCACCTGGCGTGGCTGCTGCGGCTTGCTGAGCGCGATGGGCCCGCCGAGGGCCGACTCGGAGATCGAGCCACGGCCCTTTGTGGAAGCGGCGGCGTGGGCGGCGGCAGCGGCGGCGGCAGCAGACTGGGCGGCGGCATGAGGATCGTGACGAGGCTCGTTGGACCTGAACTTGTCGCCACCCGTGGCCAGCGAGAGGAGCTCAGACGAACGGCCGACCAGACCGGCGGGGCGGAAGTGCGTCTTGAGGTGCTGGGCCAGGTTGTCGGAGCGGCCGAAGAACTTGCCACACGACTCGACGGGGCACTTGTGCGGGCGCTCCTGGGTATGCGTGCGGTTGTGGCGCTTGAGGTGCTCCATGCGCTTGAACCGCTTGCCGCAGTGGCAGACGTGGAGCTTGTCGGCGGAGCTGACGATGAGCGGCGGCGGCCCGGTGTTGCGGGCACGGCTGCGCGGCGTGTTGCGGGTCACGGAGCCAGACATGCTCCTGCTGCGTCCGTCGAGCAGCGAGCCGGGCGAGACGGCGACGGGCGAGGCGAGCGAGCCCGTGCTGCTCCTCGAGAACGACATGCCGGGCGCGCTGAAGTAGGCATCGTAGCCGGGCGATGGAGGCACGCTGCCGGGCGTGGTAGGGTACATGTTGGCCTTGCGGAAGTCGATGCCGGGGAACGAAGCCGAGGTGGGCGTCATGGGGAACGAGCCCTGAGAGGAACCGCCAGACGACGAACCGCTCCGGGCAGGGTGGTGAGCGGGAGCGGACGCGCCGCGGACCATGGCGGAGGCGCCCACGCCGTTGGGCATCTCTGAGATGCTGGCGCGGTGGACCGGGAACGAGTGCGGGCTCAACGGCTCGTTGCGGTAGAAGGGGCCGCCGAGCTTCTCGGTCTTGGTGGCGTGCAGCTTGGACAGGGTCAGCAGCGCCGGCGGGTCCTTGCTGCACGGCGAGGTGCCGAACTCGACGTGGCCGGCACCCTCGGTGTCGAAGCTGTCGGTCCTCTGCATGCGCGCCTGCGGCAGGCCGGCAAAGTAGGGCGACGTCTGTGCCGAGCCGAGCCCACGGACGGAGTGGTCCGGGGTGGTGTTGTGCGAGTGCGAGTGGCCCGGGGTGGGGTAAGGGTATGAGGGGCCGCTGTAGGATGCGCGGTGGCCCGCCGTGATGGGCGTGAGCGGCGAGTGACCGTGCCTGAATGAGTCGCTGAGGTCGGTCGAGGGGAAGCCGGCAAAGGTTCCCGTCGACGGGGGCATCGGCGTGGTCTCGTCGGATCCATCCGAGTCGACGAGCGAGGGCATCGGTCCCCGTCCGTGGTCATCGAAGCTGCTGGTCTGGAACATGCCGGCGTCGAAAGACTGGACCGCGCGGCGCTTGGTCATCGGCGGTGGCATCTCGCCTGCATCGTCTCGGCCATGGGACATGGCGAGGAGAGCGTTGTGCTGGCCGTGGACGAATGGCGACTGGCCGAGGTGGGACTGGAAGTCCTGGTGGAGCTCCGGGTGGTGAGGGGTATCGGGAGTTCCGATGGCCAGGCCAGAGATCGAAGAGAGCGAGCTCGGCAGGCCCGCCGGCGACACGCTCGCCTGGTAGGTCCGCGGCGAGTATCCGTTGGGGTGCGCGTGCCCCTCGGAGAGATTGCTTGCGCTGAACGACGATGACGACGCCGAGCTGATCGAGCCACGCCGGGAGCCATACGCCGGCTGGCCGTTCGCGTTGTGGGGGAAGCTGTATGCGGGGCTCGACTGCGAGTGCGACATCGAGACCGAGGATGGCTGATAGCTTGGGTTGAAGCTGTCGAGCAGGCCGAGCGAGTTGCCGAGCAGACCGTTGTTGAAGGCGGCGTTGGGTGGCGTCGAGGCCGAGCCCGTCGAGTCGGAGTGGGCGTGGCCCTGAGGCGACTGCATCTGCGACCCCATGTCAGAGGGCGAATGTGACTGTCGCTGGCTGTTCATGGCGATGAGCTGGCTTGCGAGCGGTACGGCGGCAGCGCAGGTGAGGACAACGGCAGACGTGGGACGATGCTGGAATGAAGCAGACAGAAGAGGGCGTCGGACGCGGAAAGGTGCTGGCGACGATCGCGAACTCGATTTGATCCGAGGCAAGGTGCGTGTCGTGTAGGCTCGAAGAGGCGTGCAGTAGGCCGACCGTAGACAATGACCGCGAGAGACGGAGCGGTGCGCGTGTATGTGCGAAGGGATGGGTCGTGAGCGTCGCAGCGGTGTGTGGCGGTGGTGGTTTGCTGCTGTGATGGTGGCAGGGGGCGGACGGGTAGGCTCTGGACCTATGAAGGCGTTCGGGAAGAAGGGGGCAAGGCCAGGGCGGTCAGGGCTCCAGCAAGCAAGGGTTATGTATCTACCCTGGTCTCGTCGGCGGCGCGTGCCTGTCTGCCTGTGCCTGTACGGAGGGTCAGGCCAGGGGGAGGGGGGACGAGGGGGAGGGCCGAGGCAGGCAGGGCCAGCACACAGGCAGCAGGCACCACCGGCAGCAGCAGCAGCAGCAGCAGCAGCAGATCAGGCAGGGAGGGTCCGCGGAAGAAGGGGGGTGGGAAACCTACAGCAGGCGTAGGCGCTTCATGGGGAGACAGGCTCGTGGGCTTCGAGGTGGCGACGGGACGGACGGAGAAGCCAGGGCCAGGGCAACCCAGAGAGCGGAAAGGCGGCCGTCTGACGGCGGCGGGAAGCTGTCGCCTTCCGCAGAGAAGAGCTGTGGGTTCGCGTTGCCGGCCTGGCCTGGCAGGGGCGTTGGCAGGAAAGCGCGTCGAGCCCAGCTTCAGGCAGGACCTGGCAAGGCGGCCAGCAAGCAGGTTCGAGCAAGCCAGCGGGCAGGCATGGCAAGCAGGCTGGCTGGCAGGCAGACGGTCACCGCCTCAGAGACGCCGTCGCGACCTCCTGCCACCTGCTGTCTGTCAGAAAGCGGGGGGTACTGTAGGGGTCGACAACGACGGCGGATGCTCCGCCTCAGATCGTTGTCCACGCAGGTGCAAGCAAGTGGCCGGGCAGCAACGAGGCAGGGGATCTGAGAAGCGAGGGGCAGGCGGAGATGTCTGTCCGCCTGCCAGCCGCCCGCCTGGACCCATCGTCCTTTTTTTTAAAAAAGAAAAGATTCGATCGACACCCCCCTTGCCTGCTCGAGCGCCCACGCCTGTCCTGCAAAAGAGGCAGGCTAGGAAGATACAACCGGGTCCGGAATGGGATGGGTGCCAGGATTCTGGGTCGCCCCGGCCGAGGCTTTGAAGCAGCTGCTGCTGTTGCTGCAGATGGAAGGGCCGCCCAGGCAGACAGGGCGAGAAACCGGAAACGGCACGCAGCCTGTGTTGCAGGCCTGCGCCCGCCTGCCTCTCTGGCTCGCTGCCCGCCAACGTCGTCCTTTCCCAAGCCGGAAGAGCAAGATGCAGCCCGCCAGCCGTGTGGCTTGCACCATCGCACCACCAACGAGCCTCGTCTTGCCCGCACGCTCCGTGGCAGCCTCGGCACCCTCGTCCTCGCACTCGCCTATCCTCTGTTGCTCGTAACAGTGCGGTGTGTTCACCCTAGCCTATCGTCCTCTCGACAAGCGACGGCCGTCAAGACGTAGATTCGGATCGGGCTCGTGAGTCGGCTCAAACAGAGGACAATGGTCGGCGATCCTCGAGGCTGGCGGCCATGGGCGAGAGCCAGGTCGATGCTGGGGCTGTGCGAGGTCTCGCCCCGTTCCCGGTAGGGCGATCAAGGGGGCAGCAGGGCGGTGCTGACGCCGCAACCAGGGGGGGGCGGGCGCTGGCCAAAACGGGCAAGAAGGGCGGGTCGCTGCCTCTTCCTGACGCAGGGACGCCGCCGATGTTCCCTCTTGGCAAACAAGCTAAGAGGAGAGGAGGCAGTCAGGTTGGTAGTGCGAATGCGGCAAGTCCCTGCGGACGGCCAGGTGTGCGAAGAGAGTCGGGGGGCTTTCAGCAGCCGTGCGCGTCGTGCAAGCACGGACTTGCTTGCGCCTGCTTGCTTGCTTCTTGCTCCTCGATAGCGTCCAGCATTGGCCGTCTGGACGCGGCGGTATGCCTGGCACTAGCGATTGATCAATCTGTTGTCTGGCCTTTGTTTGACATCCATCGACGTATGTCCAGACGCAGCTGGCCGACCGGCCGGTGACACGGGCCCGACCTACGTGCCTGGCCGCACGCGCTTGTCCAACCTGTAGGCCATTGCCGATCGATAGGCTTCACTAGTCAGCTAATAGAGAGGTCGTGTGTTGGTCCATGTCGCATCTTCTCTCCTCTCGGCCTGCCCCATGCCGAGGCCACTGCTCCGACGGTTCTCAGAGCTGCTGCTCCCGGCGTGCAGTCCGTGCGGCGGCCAGCCTCAACCTTACCGCGACATGACAGGTGCCGCCACTCGGACCGAAGCTGCAGCTCTAGGGGCCCCCTGGACGGTACCCACGTTCAGAGATGGGCAAGAAGGGAGCAGCGTGGTGTATGTCAGCTAGAGAGGCGGGCTCGACAGTGTTTTTACATCAGCACTCGTCCCTGCCTGCGCTGAGGGACCAGACCAAACGGGACTCGTCGTGGTCGTGGTGGTCATCGTCGCCGTCGATCTCGTCCTCGCCGTCGATCTCGTCCTCGCCGTCGATGGGGTTGAGCGGTCTGGATTAGGTTCATCGCTCGTCATGCACGGCCGTACCTTTTCTCACACTTCACCTCCTCGGCTGCTCTCTGCTGGCCCAAAGGCAAGGCGCATCAGTCCGGAAATTGAGGTTTTGCCAGCGGTAAAGGCCGGAATCTGGACCCGCGGGTGTGAGCCCGGCAGCTCACGCGGGGGGATACAGTCGAGGGGGGGCACAGAGAGGCGGCAGGGCACGGCACCCGGAAGGCCATGCCTCTGTGCGCGGGTGGTTGCAAGATTCGGATCGGCCCGGAAGCCTGAGCTAAATCCCGCACGCCGGCGCTGCTTGGGGGAACAAAAGAGGTGTCGCGGGCTATGCCTGCCGGCTACTTTTTGGCCGCCCCCATTCATGGTTCGACCTCCATGAAGGAGAAGCAGAAGAGGCGGACGGGAGCAAAGGACCAAGAGGCAGGCCGGTCGAGTCGCGTTCGAGTGTTGGTCTCGCTGGCTTCCTCTTGCAGGCCATGCCACCTGCTCACCTCCCTCTTCCAGCCTTGCGCCGCCATGCGCTCCGCCACCTGGCCTGGTGCCTGCCTTTCTGAGTCAGGCATACACCGCCCGATCTGAGGTTGGAGCTTGGCGATACAGGAACAACACTTCGTCCACAGCGACCATCTCCGCGACGTTCAAATCGAGCAAGGCTGACTGCTGGTGCCTACGGCCAACACGATATCGATGGTCGGTGCTGCTTGCTTGTTTCGTCTGAGACAAACACCGGGAAGCCCTGGCGTCGCTCCCACGTCTCTGCGCGTCAGCTGGCCGCCTGTGAGATGCTTCCGCCAGGCCGGTCAAGCCCTGGATGCTGCTCAACGGACGTGTAGGTACTGTGACTGCCGGCAGCTGGTGCCTGCTTTTGAAGCAACGCCGACGTCGGGATCATGATCCGGCAGACTGCCGAATCGGACGGAGGCTCTCGCCCGTCGCAGCAGGGGCCGCACTTTCCGTCGGGTCTCGTTGTTCAGTCGTTTGCGCGGCGTGCTGGCAGCCCGAACCTCGAAGGGTCCCGACAGGGTCAGGCAAGGGCGCCAGCAAGCCACGCACGAACGCTTCAGTCGGCAACGTCTCGGCCTTGCTGGCTTGCTTGCGCTCCCTGTTCGGCAGCAGCTTGGTCAGCGAACGCCGTCCAACGGCAGCGGTTGTGGGGCGTACAGCACGTAAGCCGATCCTGGCTCACTCGACAGCCAATGGCGCGGAACGCCGCCGTTGTGCTCACGCCACGACACAGGAGCGAGGTGCATATCTTTGCCAGGTGCTGGGTTGTCTGCCCGAGCAGCCAGCTGGCTCGGGTATGGATGTGTGATATATTGCTGGTTGAATTATGGCTGAGATCAAACAGGCCGGGCCAGATGCTCACGCCCTGGCCGGTTCGGGACTGTGGCGCTGCTGCGACGGTGGCGAGGCGTGACCACATTGGCCACGGCCATGCCTTTGCCACACCGTCCAGGCTCGGTACACGAGGGCATGTTGGTGACCTGTTGCGCGGCTTCTTTGCCATCTGCCGCTCAGCTTTGGTCCAGGCGTGGTGCGGCATACTCGAACGCGCGGTGGTTACTTACCCCTACCAGCACGGCCGATTCAGGTCATCACGCCGTTAGGTACCCTCCAGCCGGTATCGTCGAGTTCGCGTTGTGAGGTCGAGATCCTCGCTCCCTTGCCTTGACGCCAGATCCCAGATGGCCCATCTGAGATGGGCGGAGAATAGCAAGCTTTCAAGAGCGCCATCGAGCAGCTTGCGTTGCCCCAGAACTGCCAGCCATCTGACGAGCGGCATCGCCTACTATCGGTCGAAGCAAGACGTCGGATCTCGATATCGAGCAAGGCGCCCGTTCTTCTTGCTATGGGACAGAGCAAGGGGTCGGGATCGGCAATCGGACCAGCACAACGAACACGTATAGATGCCGGGATCTAGGCAACTGCTACCTATCTGCCCCTGTCCAGACGCTGCGCCTATCGTTCGAGGACAACTTGTCGCGCGCTCGGCCTTCGACGAGCTCCGCAACGCTTCGCCGCCGCCGCGCAAAGGTGGCTTCCTTGTTGTCCCTTGCTTGCTCGTAGCTCGGTTCAATGCTGGTATCTAAGCCCGGTCCTCCTCCCGCCTGCTCGCTGGCGCGCTCTGTCTGGCCGGTGCTGCCAACCGTGTGGAAGGCTTACCGTTGTGTCGGTGCACTCGAGACGGGCTCGTTTCAGAAAGTAGCCGTCGGTGCAACATGCGACGGTGGGCAACCCTTCGAGGATGGAAGCTACAATGGGTCGGAGACCACGGCCACGGAACGCCACGTTGTCTCTGATCGAAGCCCGCTTGGCTCAGCTGAACGCGGCCC